AAACTTGGAGGCTGTCCCCCACAGATGACATTGACACCTGGTCCCAGAGCCCTACCCCAGCTCCAGAATTTCCATACGCCCTCTTCCCTTCCTTCATTTCCCCTCCCAATAGTCTTAGCATTTAACAGATATATACCGTGGGCTCATGTACTAGCAGACATTACTGGTCCCTATGCTATTTTTCCTTAGATGAACCATGTGGCACTCGTGCCTGGCATATGCACACATTGAATAAATCTTAGACACTATGGTGATCATGACACATGGACTTCCCCGGTGGCTCAGACGGTAAAGTGTCTGCCTACAACGCGGGAGGCCCAGGTTCAATCCCTGGGTCAGGAAGATCTCCTGGAGAAGGCAATGGCAACCCACTCCAGTATTCTTGCCTGGAAAATCCCATGGACAGAAAAGCCTGGTAGGCTACAGTCCATGGGGTCGCAAGGAGTCGGACACGACTGAGCGACTTCACTTTCACTTTTTCATGACATATGCATCTTCCAGGGGGCTTTCCTTATTCAAGGGAGTAAACATAAATTGCTAGAATTTCAAAATTGGGTCAAGTCAGAAGAAATTGCAGGCAAAAGGACCTTTCAGTTCCTTTCAATTAAACACTACAGAGGCTAGTTCAGAATCTACCACTTGCTACCATATGCAATGCACTTTCCCTCATTCTACTTTTTCTTTAACTCTTCCTTTTAGAAGTCTTCTTATTCTATTATTGAATTCTTTTATATCATATTTTACCCAACTTGGACTTATTTCTGGAACATGTAAGGAGACCGTCTGATCCTCCGATTCCTAGTCACAGTGAAAAAAAAAAGAAAAAAGAAAGAAACCTGGCTCCAGTTTTAGATAACAGGATTTGAGCCCGGGTGCTTATTTTAGCACTTCCTGGATAAAGAAAATGCTGTGAACTAAGATCCTGAACCCTATTGTAAATGATATAGCATTGAACTTGTACAAATGTGCTGAAATACTCCAGCGATTGCTCGTTTCCTGAGCTACAAAATGAGTATGACAGGGTTTATTAATGTAAATCTAACAGGAGAAAACATTAAAATCATTTAAGGGATTTGGGGGAAACATGTCCAGGGCTTCCTAACAACTTTTATTTATTTATTCACTTATTTACGGCTGAGCTAGGTCTTCGTTGCTGTGCACGGTCTATCTAGCTGCAGGGCACAGGCTTCTCACTGCAGTGGCTCCTCTCGTTGGGGAACACAGTCTCTAGAGCACTGGCCTTAGTAGTTGTCGTGCACGGGTTTAGTTGCCCCACGGCATGTGGGATCTTCCCGGACCAGGGATCGAATCATTGTCCTCTCTATTGGCAGGTGGATTCTTTACCAGTGCATCACCAAGCAAGTCCAGCTTTCTAACAACAATTTTAACATGGCCATGGGCAGTGTTCACATCCGCACTTACCAACATTATTAGGAAAACTAGCTTAAGCTAATAAATACATTTGCCATCCTATTGCACACATAACTAAATGGAATTTGCAAGAGAGTGAGAGAAAGCCCTTTTGGAAATAAGAATAAATAATGTGTATCAATCAGGCTTTTAAAGATCTAAATGTATTTTTCAGAGTGGGATTCCAAGAACTATAGCTCTGGAACATTATTTGACTCAAAAACTGTTTCGCCAATCTCAAGAGCAATCAGTCCTGCTACCACTTCTCACAGGAAAATAAAAGAAAAAAAGATTTCCTTCTTCCTGCCCTATCCAAGTGGGTCACTGCTGCTTTTCTCTCTGTGAAGTCTTTCTTCCGGAGGTTTGCCAAGTTCTGCTGTGGTCCACTGCGTATTTTAAATGTTGGAAGTGGCTATGGCCAAAGGTCAGAAAATATGACTTCTGAGTGGGCTTGGGGGAATGCTAGGGAAAGACAGATGCTGCGATTTAGGTCAGCTCTGGGGAGATGATTTGCGTTTTCCAGATACTTACTGTTTATTGGTGTTCATGCTTTTCTATGATCCTTTTTAATATTCTAAATTAAGAGCAGTATTTTAAACTCCCTAAAGGTGATTTGCAATTTTTTTAAATAAAAATGATCCAATCATCCTATAAACAGCAGAACTGCCATCTTCTGTAAATAGAACTGGCAAGAATCTCATCAGTCTTAAAATATCACCTCCTTTGATTTCCTGCAACCCTCCCACCAACGCCTCCCTCCCCCAAGTTCCTTAAAACAACACTCCAGAATGCTGTATGGGGACTTACAGGACCCCTGTTAATGCCAAAGATACTTGAAGAAATGGTCTGCATCAAGACACAAGGCTTGCTGTTTATCATGTATTATCAGGAAGGCTGCAGGACTTCTTAAGTTCTCTTTTATTCTCCATGGCTTACAGAATAAGAGTACTAGAACTTTAGATAATGGGTAAAACAGAAAAATTTGAGCCATAAGCAAAATTTTAAGCCCAGACTTACCTAGATTATTCTACGTTTCTGAGAGAAGGGAGGAAATAAAATAATGCTCGAATAAAACCCGAGTTTTATTTTGCTTAATTTTAATTCACATGCCATATGCGGCATAATCTCTGCTTAAGGAAGCCCTCAACTTTGAGCAATTCTCAAGAAAAGGTATCATCTGCATGGGCAGCCAGGGGTACTCTGAAATGCAAATAGTCACGATGGATGTTTAATTACATTGCTGAGGTGCTTGGATGAGGCTCCCAATAAAGACTTCCACGTAGCTTCCCTGTGTGTGATGCAGCCATCTTGCTTGTGGTAGAACAATTTAAACCTCCCCATACTCTTCCTGCACGTATACACCTTAAAGGCAGGGACTGAGAGTCGCCTACAAGTACCCACTTCTCCTTACTTTCATAATAGGAGAACCTTGATTCATAACCAAGCATACTCCTGTCCAGAATGAAGACTGCATTTTCTAGACTCCCTTGTCAGATATGGCCACAGGACTAAGTTCTGGTCAGTATTATGTAACAGAAGTTTGTGTTATTTCTTCACAGGATCCTTGAAAGTGAGGATCACCTTTTGCTGCCTAGAATGCAAACTTTATAGCTGCAGCTCCAGCTATCTTGGACAACAAGGTGCGAACATTGAGGACAAAAGCACAACGGGAAGTTCAGAGCCTGGCCTCCCGACAATACCCAGAGAGCCAGTACCCCACCCCTGTCGGCCTACCCCAGATTCCCTTCCATGAGAAACAGAAATAAGCGTCCGTCTTCTTGAATCTCTTGTATCCAGAGTTTAGCTGTCTGATTTAGGGCAAGTGAACAAAATATTAAGTAATATACCTATCAATACAGTCCAAGGAGCCTGCCAACTCTGGATAACAAATTTAACTTTTCTTCTCTGCAGAAATTCCTTCACTCATGCAAAGATTAAACAAGCAGAACCCATAAGAAGATACCAACATAGCATCCTTCCCACAAGAGCAAAGGGGTGTTAAGGTCAACTCTGCCTTTGCACATAATTAGCAACCCCACATCTTGTCACCCCAGTCCCAACTGCTCAAGTCCAGATGCTGCCTATCACTTGAAACCTCTATAAAACAGCACACTTGGTTTACGAAGTAGCCCACAGCTCATCAGAGAATGGGCGGAGGTCACCAATTACATCATTTGTGCCCCGAAGGAGAGAGGTCCCTATACAATAGTCATTTTATAGATGCATGCAAACACTAAGCTCTTTTAATTACTATAATCAATAACAATACATTTTAAAAAGGCTATAACAGTATACTGAAAGATGTATTCTGATTTTGTAAGTCCCTAGGGGTACTAGCATCCGAAGTACAAAGCAATATTAAATAACAGTGATAACAACAGATAATGCTTGCTATTCACACCATATCCTGCTGTTGTATTATCTGGCCACCATACTACTTGACACATAGTATCTGGAATTCAAGATATCATTATTCTTATTACCAAGGAGGAAACTGAGGCTCTGAGAGGTTAAATAAATTGGCTAAGACTATGCAGCCAGTTCCTGACAAGGGTTATTGCTGAACCCAGAATTGCCTATAAGGTTTAAATTATTTTAGCTGCACAATCTTATCTTTCAGAATTTTAGAGAAAATAATCCAAGGAAAATTTCTAGTTTTCTCACTTAAGAACTTCAATAAAATATTCTAATCTTATCTCCATTTTATATCAATATAAGCATTTCCAAAAACAAAGCAAAGGAAAAAGCAAAACAAAAAATCCAATAGAATTTGTCTGCAAAAGGTAAATTATGTTAGAATACAAATGAAGCAAATCACAAAAGCGCTTTTCTTTAATTTCACCTTCTGCTACTAGTTTCAGTTTCAGGGTGACCTCTATGTTTCCATACCAAGGGTCATTATACACATTTTAATCCATGAACCTTAAAACTGAAAAAAAAAAAACTCCTATAATGACATATTCTTGTATAATTACATCTCTGTATACCATTCCCTTGAAACAGGTCTGATTTATTTCCTACCTCTTTGTTAAGTCTCCACTTTAATAAAAGGAAAAAGCACTGAGAGAAATTAGGCCCTGAAAGCATTCATTGAATATGTCAAGCAATTTACCCAGAATTCAAAAAAGAAATGAGTTAAAAACAAACAGGAGGAACAAACTAATCTGTTTAAAATGAGATTTTTGCATGTATGAATATGTGCGTGTGTGTATGCGTGTGTATCTGTGGGTATTTCTACTTAAAGACATATACAAAACATGGCAATTACATTAAAAGTTTATCAGTAGAATAATTAAAATTTTCAGAAGCTGCTGAAAGCTAAAGAATTAAAATACACCCATGAGAAGAAAGTCAAACAGAAGGCTGGAGCTCCCTCTTTCTTTTCTTTGAAGAAATTCACCAAGACATCTCTCCTAGGAGAAAGACCAAAGTTACCAACCTGACAGCCCAGTAGCATCACACTCATGCTCAGCAATTTCACAACCTCCGTACACACGCTACGCACATGACAGTACATTTACTGGTAGTTCATTGTTCATAAGAGACTTATGCAGTAGAAAAAAAGCACTTTTAAAAGTAGAAATACTCACAAAGCCATTTCAAACTGTTCCAGCCATTTTTTCTTTAAATCTTTTGTTTTGCAATAAAATTCTAACCCATTTTGTCCTTGGATATGGATGAGGTAGAAGCCATAAGACCACTGTTAAAATTAATATTCCTCAGGTTAATAGGTATCATTCATTAATAACACTGTGTTTTCAAATCACTAAAACACCACCATGATCATCCACAAAACCTCTCATAACATCATCATCAAACTGTGAAAATCAAGATTACTGTAGTCAGCTTCCTATCTATAACAACGGCTATGCCAAGTGCATTTTGTTGCCATGTTCATCAAGGCATTAGAGAGGATCATATCACCTGTGGCACTGTCTAATTATTTCTCACAGAGGCTTGTCTCTAATTAATCTCTAGAAAGAAACTAACAGACCTGGATCAATGAGCTGCCTCTCACATTACTGTAGCTCAGTTAGTAAAGAATCCACCTGTAATGCAGGACACCCCAGTTCAATTTGTAGGTCAGGAAGATCCCCTGGAGAAGGGACAGGCTACCCACTCCAGTATTCTTGGGCTTCCCTTGTGACTCAGCTGGTAAAGAATCCACCCACAATGCGGGTGACCTGGGTTCGATCCCTGGATTGGGAAGATCCCCTGCAGAAGGGAAAGGCTACCCACTCCAGTATTCTGGCCTGGAGAATTCCATAGACTGTATAGCCCATGGGGTCGCAAAGAGTCGGACATGACCGAGCGACTTTCACTTTCACATTACTGTATTAGCATATGTTCCTTGAATAGTCAAAGTTACAGTAAATTACAGTTGTTCATTTCCAAGAATTTACCTTTTTATTTTCTTTATCAGTTGTAGGATTGTTGGCTATTTTGTACTGCTGAAGATCTATTATTTCCTTCATTTCATAGTTATCACCTTTCCTTTTACATACAATCACTGCCAAATCAAATAAGAAGATATGCCTGAAAGAGAAAGAGCAAGAGAGATTGATTATTTAAATAGCTTGGAAGAACGTGTGTTAACTCTTCCCAGGTAAAATTTAATTTATCCCATGAGTTAAAGAGAAAGACAATGTTGCAGACTGAAAGAATGAGCCGCATGTCCTGGTACTGCCCTTTACTAAATGAATAACCCTGCTGTACGTCAGTTTCCACAGTTAAAAAACAGGCCAAATTATGGCAAGAATAATATGCACACTGCAGGACTGCTGCCAGGAACGATTAAGTCATAAAGCACTGTTCATGAACCAGTACTTTTTTCTTCCAGTTTAAAAGATAAACACCTATGGGAAAATATTAACTATGACAATAGCGATTAATGTCTACCCTTGTTACTTGGAGTGGGCTAGACTGCCTTGAGAAGCATTCATCCCTTCCACAAAGATGACTCACTTAATTTAAATCCCCAGGACCATCTCCTGACGTAGGTATTATCAACAATGTCATTTTGCTGAGGAGGAAGCCAAGGCTCGGAGAAGTTGGATAACGTTCTCAGGGTCACACAGCTAGTGGCTGCAAAGCACAGTTCACTCCTGGGTCTACTTGTGGAACCTCAGCTTTGCCCTGTATACTGCTCCCATGTTTTAATGGACAACTTGAAATGCAAACTGAGTGGTGCATGACCCCAGTGTGAGGTACGGAAATCGTGGTTAAATTTACACCTTGATATTTCTCTTCTATCTTATTAGAAGCAATGCAATTGAGGGAGAAAACAAATCTTATCAATCCTATCATCCGAACACTAACACTTGAATCTTTTTGAAAACTCTGAGTTAGTGATTAACACATATACATTGTGATAATGAGACATTCACACAGCCTTATTACTTGCATCACTTTCAAAGCCTATTTTCTGGGAGAGGCTAAAAGGATGTGTCTCTCCTGGGACCTACCTTTTGAGCCTGGGTGTCAAGGTGGACGTAAGAGTGATGCTGCCCCCTACTGGTTAACTTTCTATTCTCCTAACGTTCCAGAAAATGGCCATTTCAACCAAATACATCCGTTTAACCACCACATATATATACATAATTAGGGACACTAGGCAAGCTGACCAATCTTTAAGGAATACACCTACATACTTCCCTCAAGAAAATCTCACTAAATCGCCCTTTTTTGGACTTCATTCTTAAGACATGTTGTATTACTTTTAGTTCTTTTATAATGCATATCAAAAAGTAAAATTAAATAATTGTGTTTTTATGGTATCTATTATTGCTTTATTGCTACCCTCATTTTAATGTGTACTTTTTTACTGTAGCTGACATTCTAGATTTTTCTTTTCCTTCTGAAGAACTCAAACTTAGGGAAATCAACAGATACCAGAACAAAGAAGGGCATACCTAACATGTCCATAGAAATTAAAATGCCATAGATTGGTCTCTTCCCTTATTTTTGTTCCTTTATTTCACTCCTTTATCCTAAAGGAAACGTCCTTAAGATTTTCTCAATCTCCTGATACTAATAACTTGTTTTGAAAATAAGTACTGATACTTCTCACCTTTCTTGTTTTGTATGTTTGTCTAGAGTGGTTATTCGAATTTCACCATCTCCCTGAGGTCGTCCAAAAAGCAAAACGGGTTGGTTCTAAAACAGAAAATGTACATGTCTCAGTTTTTAATAATCACACAAAGACAGAAATAAATATTAGTGAGGATATTTTCTAGGTACAACTTCCTTAGAGCAAATTTTATCATTTTACCTTTTTAGCACATTTACTCTAAAAAGCTCAGGTCTGTATGATATACTTTCAAAAACAACCTGTCCATGTTCATCCCAGCAGACATATTGAAGACATTAATTAATTTTACTTACAACCCTAATGGATAAGTTAGCTACCAAAAGAGAGAATTAATTGGAATAATGAAAATCACAAGAAAGTTACAACTGATACTTACTGAGCATCCACTGTGTGCTAGCCACTGTAATAAGTATAGGACAGAATGATATAGACCCTGCCCTCATGAAACATACTGCCCATGGGGTGACAAATATTCACCAAAGTATATAATCACAAACGTGTGATTGCATGAAGGAAGAGCAGAAGAAGCATGCGCAGCTGGAGGACCTAATTTGGTCTGGGGAGTCAAGGATGGCTTCCTTGAGGCTAAGATCTCAAAACTGAAAAGTCCTGACTTAATGATTAAAAATAATAAGCCATTTCCCCAAAGGCAGACAATAAGAAGTTTTAAGTATTTATGAGCACCTAAACTACAAGGTGCTAAAGGATAAAAGAACTGACTGAAAATATCAGTAACATCTATGAGATTACATTCTAATAAAAAGATATGTAATTAACTGTACTACAAAAAAGTATAAAGATAAATGTTTCCTATGAAAATTCCAGTTGTTTTTTTTTTTTTTGCAGAAACAGAAAATTCCATCTTAAAATTCATATGAAATCACAAAGGATCCTTAATAGGTAAAACAATCATAAAAAAGGTCAAAGTTAGGGTCTCATACTTCCTGATTTCAAAACTTATTACAAAACTATGGTAATCCAAACAGTGTGGAACTGGCATAAACACAGACATCTCAACCAATGTAATACAACCAAACGTCCAGAAATAAGGCCTCATATAAAGGTCAAATGATTTTTGACAAAAGTGCCAACACCATTTGGTGGGAGATAGAAGAGCCTTTTCAATAAATAGTACTGGGGAAACTGGATATGCACAGGCAGAAGAATGAAGCTGGGCCCTTATACTGTTTTCAAAAACTAACTCAAAATGAATCAAAGAGCTAAAAATACAAGACTTAAAGAAAAAACACAGGAGAAAAGGTTTATGACATTGGATTTAGTAATGACTTCTTAGGACACCAGAAGCACAGGCAACAAAAGAAAAGGTGGACTTCATCAAAATTTAAAATTGTGTGTAAATAACACTATTAACAGAGTAAAAAGGCAACCCACAGAATCGGAGAAAATATTTGCAAACAAAAGTGTGGTTAAGTATTGAGTACTGATATTCAATAATTCATAAAAACAGAAAGTAGAATGGTGGTTGCCCAGGGCTGGGAGGAAGGCAGGATGAAGAACTAGTGTACAATTTAAAAGGGCAAATTTAATATATTTTACCATAATGAAAACAGCTATCCAGGCAATGTGCTATGGAATTACAAAGAAAAGGGGAAATGGCAGATAGGGAGAGAATCTTTTTTTTTTTTAATTGGACATCAAAGAAATTTGATAGGAAATTATGAAAAAAGATATTCTGGGCTTTGACAACATTAAAATAAAGGCATAACTATAGAAATGTATGGCAGGGAATTCTCAGGCAGTCCAGAGGTTAAGACTCCACCCTTCCAATACACGTGGCACAGGTTCAATCCTTGGTCGGGAACTATTAGTAAGATCCCACATGCCGTGTCACCGCACACACACACACACACACACACACGAAATGAAAACAAAAAACAAGGTGGGGCAGATCAGAGCCCTTATAACGCAGCAGGACAGCTGCAATGTAAAGCATGTGCGCAGTTATTAGCTGGATACGTTCAGCAATACAGATTAAGGCCAAATCATTGAGGACCTTAAATATCCATGTTAAGGAATGTTGACTGAATCCTGAAGGTAACAGAATTCTGACAAGTTTGGGAAAGAAAGCAAATGGAGAAATCTACATTTTGGAGACACAGCTATGTGAAGAGGTAATTAGAGGCTACTGTGATTGGAAAGGTGGCAGATGGAGTCCTGAAAAGGTGGAAGGGCTGTATATGTGGAAAGACACAGACCAAAGCTGTTTCAGAAAAAGAAGCAATAAAACTGCCCTACCAAGAAAAGTATCTTAAATCCATTCATTTATCTGTTTTCTCTACTCACAGCCTAAACCAGGCTTCCATCATCTCTCTCTTGAAAGCCCCTCAACAACATGCTGACTGGTCTGCCTGATGAAAGAGTTTTCTTGACACATAAATCAGAATGTGAAACCCTCTGGTAAGAACCTTTCACTGGCTTCCCGCTGCAAGCCCTCAGGGCCGTGTCCTCCAAGGTTGCAGGTGCAGTTCTCCTGTCCTCCTCCCTCGCTTCAGGGCCCATCCTTCTTCCTTTCACTCTCAATCTCCAACCTCTCTTGTCTTGCAGCAGCAGCTTCTTTTTTTAAATTTTTACCTTTTGGCTATGCCACACAGCATGTGGGGTCTTCGTTCCCCACCCCCTGTACTGAAGTACTGAACCCGTACCCCCTGGATTGAAAACACAGAGTCTTAACCACTGGACCACTAGAAAAGTCTCCTGGCTCTTGCCCATTTCTGGGCATTTCACTTGCCATGGCTCCTGCCTGGAATCCTCTCTCTACAGACCTTCATGCCACTGGCTTCTTCTCATCCTTCATGCTCAAAGGACAAATGCCTCAGAAGGGCTTTTCCTGAGCATCTTATGTAAACTAGGACTCCACTCACTAGCCTCTGCTGCAGCGACCTGTTCACAGCATCCATCTCAATAGAGCAGTTTTAAACTCTTTTTTACTGTCTCCTCACCCTTGAGATCATGTTGCTCATAGTTATAGCCCCAGCCTCCAGCAAAACAGCTGGCACACAGCAGTCACCCAGTAAATAGACATAAAATGAATATGTTAACAGGGCTCTACCATGAATATGTATGGGGGTGAGGATAGAGGAGAAAAAAATGGATCCAGGGTTTAGAGTTGGGACTAGGAGGGGCAGAGGTATCACAATGTGATAAGGGACAAGCGATGGCAGAAGGTCCCTGGCAGCAATGTGTCACAGGTGCCACCGAACATTCATCTCTGTGGACTCTGTCAAACAGAAGTCAGAAAAATCCTAGAACAACAGAAACTTGAAGGTAAACTATTTTTTCTTCCAAAACAACTCCTAGAATGTCCCCCAAGCTGTGGGTTAGAGAAGCTGGATGGAATGATAATTACATACCAAATTTTCTATAGATAGCTGAAACTGTTTAATTTCACGAAGGGTCTCATTATCTCTTTTCACTTCATTCACATATTGTGCCAAGTCCTAAAGAATAAAGAGAAGGGGAGAAAAAGAAGGCACAATAAGATCAGACAAGAGATGAGCACTGTTTGAAAAGAAACACATCATTAATTTCATTAGTGATAAAAGTTACCGCCATAACTTTTCAACGACAATGAAATGAAAGCCCAGTCAATCAAAGCTGCATCTCAAAAGCAATTTAAAACTGTCTGGAGTACAGCTGGGAAGACTGAAGCCTTGTCCTTTACCACACCCTTGAGAAGAGTGAAGATCAAACACTAAACAAACAAAATACCCCACCATGCGGAACAACAAAAAGGAAACCAGGTCAGGAGCATGTAAATTCCAAATGCTGACCTTGAGGGAATCACACTTGTACTTGGGTTAGAATGAGGACAATCTCGTGAAGGATTAGACAGGACAGGAAAGTAACTAAAAGTGAGACAATGAATCCAGAAGGGCTGTTGCTTGTAACCAATTAAGTGTCTTAGTTCTGGGGAGCATTCAGTTGGGGCGCCAGATCAATTTCAAAGAGTTAATAAAGGGGAAGGAAAGAAGAGAGAAAACCAGGGAGTGAGAAAATGAAGAGCACAACACTGGCCTTGCATTTCCATGCGCCTTTGCCGATTTTGAGACATCTTTTCTCATATTTGAGGAAACATTAGCTAATCTTTCCATACTGTAACCAGCTATTTTTATTACAGGTGCTCCAGATTTTTCCTGTTTTCTGGGTTCTTTTTCTTTTTCTCCCCTACCCTCTTACATTCATCTGCAACAGCAGGAACAGAACTCAGACAAAAAGCAGTTCCTAACTTTGTTCTAAATGAAAGCCCGCTTTTTCATAGAATATCTCTGTAAGAGATTTCCTTAAAAAACTGGAAACCTGGTATCATTTTTTAAATAATAATAAGTAATTGTGTGCTGCTTCCTGGCATGGTATTCCAGTCAGCTAACACAGATTTGCACAGGGACACGGGTAAGCATTACGCATTGCTCTGAGTAGAGTCATGTCGGCATTTTGTCTCCAGAACAAATACTTGGGTATGTTTTAAGTTGGGGCAAATATTATTTCTTTCAAAGTCTAAGTCCAGCATAGCATGGAAATTGGGGTTTTATGCATTGCCCAATATGTTCAAAATGCCTGTCTTTATCTACTTGTATCGACAGTTCTTAATTTTCAGATTTACCAGAAATAGAAACCCAGATTGATCCACTTTACTGATGTACAGCATCCACGAAGATAAACCTGGCAGACATCCTCACTTGAGGAAAACAAGTCATACCCATGTTCTAAAGTCATCAGCGCCAACAATTTTCTACCAGTAGCCATAAAAAGAATGCGAAATAAAACCTTTCTATTTAATCGTTCCTGGTGGTTATGGAAGGGGACATGCTTTCATAAATAACAAAAGTTATTTTAATATACCTCTTGATTTTAGTTTTTGTCCAATAATGGAATCCATGCAAGGATATCAATTTCAGTTAAAAATACCCAGCTCTCCCCACTAACAATAAAACTACATACTTATAGATATTATAACATCTATTAGCATATCATACATATGTATTAGCACTTTGTAGTCACTGCTTTCCAGTAAGAATGAGAAATACAAACAAGTCAATGATGATCTGTCTTACCTTCATTGCATCAAGAGCCAGTTTCAGATTTGCCTTCTCCATAGGATCAGTGGTATGTTTGACGAGCTCCTATTTGGAAGATATGGTTTAGTACTACTTTCACCAATTAAAACAAAAACTAAAGAAAACATTTTACAAATAAACCATTTTATCACTATTTGCACCATAAAGTGATAAATCTGACATAACCAGGCTCTGTTTTCATCATAAATTTCAAACTGTAAGAAGATCAGCTAGACATCAGAAGAACACGAGACGACGGTCAGAAAGTTTTCCTTTCAAAGTTGAACTCGAATTCTATCCCCCACTATCACACTGACACTCTTGCCAGATGGTAGGAAAGATCCCCTCCTGACAACTGACAGATGCTTTTCATTCATTGTCAAACATGCCTTCATTACTACTTTTAATGCTGACGGCTACATCTCTCCTACAAGGATGTAGGCCATTATGTCTCAGGGGCATTACGCTCTTCTGTTTGCTGCCATTACTGTTACTTGTTAGTTCATCTTAAATGTCAGCCTATTCATCAGTCTTTCAACTTTCTTCTTTCTTTGTCTGCACCTTAGAAATCAGTTATTATTCCCTAGATTTTTCACCCTAGTCTTCTGTTATTCTTAACTTTACATACTCTATGAATTCTATCACAACCATTGCCATAGCATCACCTACTACCTAGTGGGACAGTTCACTCTCAAATGAATGTGCTCAACCCAGAATTCACACCTGAGTCCCAGACTCAAATGTCCTATTAAATAGTTCTACCTGGTATCTCACAAGACCCTTAAGTTCAGCATGTCCAAATATAATGAACCTTCACCCACATTCCTACTCCTGTTCCTGTTTATGTTTTACTGAATGATGGAACCTTTATCACTTAAGCCAAAACCTAACAGGTACCCCTGACTCTTCCCTCTCTCTCTCTCTATGTTCTGTAGATGCTAACTTTATCCTTCTCCTTGCAATCACTCCCACTGCCACCACCTTGGTTCAAGTCACTGCTCTTTTTCAAATAGGTTTCTGTTTCATCTTCCACTTTGCAGTCTTTCCTCACAACTCTATTCACCATTGACTATTCCATTATTTCCTCACTATCTATTCACTTTACTGACATCAGAGTTAAATCTCTAAATGTAAGTTAGATCCTGTTATTTGAACTTCTGGGAAACCCACAAAAGCTTCAGGCTGTCATCCATGCTTCATAGATGCCTCATGATCTGAATTCTATAAACCTCCCTCAACTTCTCTCTTCACTTCCATTCAAACCAGCTATGTCCTATTTCCACTAAATTAATTGCAATTCTCAAAACACGTTCTAATATCTGATCCCATTAGGCATGGTGTTTTCTCTCCTTGAAAGCCCTTTCTCTCTAATCCACCTGTCAAACCGTTATTCTTCCTTCAAAGCTCAACTCCAGAATAGCTCCTCTGTGAAGCTTTCTATGACAGAGGCCTCTATTCAAGCCATAATTAACTAGGTCTTTATTTGTACCACCTTTGTACCTTTGGCATACTTATCACATTGTATTGTATTTGGCAAATTACTTTTCATTTTCCCTATCTAAACAGTGAGATTTGTCAGTGTGAGGAGGGCAGTTTTATATTGTACAGAGTCTCACACTATAATGTGGAACATGGAAACCATTCAGAAGTCTGCTTAAGTCAAAACCATTAGTGTTTCTAGTAAACAGAACCTACAAACATCAAATCTGTTAAGTATAATAAAGTATAATAAACTTGTTAGAGTTGTATTCATTTCTATTTTTACTTTTCCTCTATTAAATAATAAAAGTAAAGTATTCTCAAAGTTTCAAATCCCGCTATATAATATTTTAATTTTATAAATTTGTGATTGCAAATCATAAGGCATTTCAAAAATTATTTACCCACTAAAATACAGTAGTAAGTAGAAAATGTTCAATTCACACCACATGTATTCAACATATTTCTAAACAGTAGACAAATTAATTCTACTCTACATTATTTTCAGATGGAAAAACATTTCTAGAATTTTTATCTAAGTGTGGTATCCCAGATAAAACTTTCCCTACTTAAAAAAAACCATCATGGAACTAAATATACTTTTGAAATTTAAAATATCAAACAACCCAAGAGAAATTAGGGGAAAAAAAAGTTCGCTGATTTTCTAAAAGTTATGGTCATATTTTATACTTTTATAAGTCTAAAATCTTTTAAGTTACCAAAATAGGTTATTTCTTTAAAACTGCACCTTTTAAATTCTTCAATCAATATTTGACTATCCCAAAGTTAAAAAATAAATTATCATCTTCTTCTGTGATATGTTTTTAGTTTCATATCTCAGAAACTGACTGCCTAAGTCTTCCTTATTATTTTTTCATAAAATGCAATTTAATTAAGTTTCTTTGAGTTTAGGTCTCATAAATGTTTTAATGCATTTTTAAGGAATAATCAGGATTGGAATTTTTTTTGATTTCTCAGTAGAACAAAAATAGAAATGACTAATAATTTTGCAGCTACAGTTCAAGAAATTTAATATACAAGATGTATAAAGCACAGAAAATTCAGAATTATATTCACATACAGGTAGTAGATCTTTTTAAAATGACATTTCACAAGCATCAGCAGAGCTGACAGACTAATACAGTAAGACATTTCTTTGGAGCAGAACTAATGAGTCTCCTGGTACAGCTATCAAATTAAATTTATAACACTCTCCACCCTCATTAGAAAACTAACCGTGGAAACCATAAGCTTTGGGGTTATAACAAGAATCACTTCAAAATAAATGTAGTCTTATTATAATTTAGTATAGCAGAAAGCAACACAGAATGTGACACAATTCTCTTTCATTTATGGTTATAACGCACAAGTTCTAACACAATTAACCTGCTAAAACTCAAGTGTATCACAACATTGAGATTCTAATCAATGATTACTGCTAATGACAGAACACTTGGTTGTTGAAGAGATATTTGTATTTGTTCTGCGTGTCTTTAAATTTTTAAAAATTTTTGGAGCCACTTCCGTTTGTAAGACATAAAACATAGCTTTATGAAAGATACAGAATTACCTTCACATAAAAGGAGGAAAAATTTTCCAGCTGTTCTATTATTTCCCATTTAGCCATCCTCATAATTGAAAAATGTAACGGGAAGGGGCTCCAAATATCAAGTTTCTGAGCAGAGTTGATGTTTCATTAATATTTGCTTGAATTAATGAATGAACAAACAACTGTAAGTTACATACCTGAAGGAGAAGGTGATACTTCAAAACACGCTGCATAGGAACCACAAGCAAATCTCGAAGAGTAAATTTCCCATTGTTTGCTCTTTTAGAACATTCCTAATGAAATATATTTTTTTAATTTAACTTTGTTAGTTTTATCAAAGGAAGTCATAATACAAACATTAAAAGATGCAAAATCCATAAGCACAACTGCTATTATACAATAAACATTTTGCTCTTTTCCTTAATGATCTCCCTTTTTTAAAAAGAGGAAGTATCATCAAAGAAAAACCAAAACAAACAAAGCTTGCAGCATTTCAGATCTACATAAGAATAAATACACAGACCTATTCTACACATAAAAATTATTTTCTCTAGTGGTCCTTCAGCATCTTCTTCCACTCAGCACTTAACCTTTCACCAATCTCTCCAAGCAGACCTATGGACCAGGAATCAAGAACAAGTCCCATTCATCAGATCCATTATGTGCCTTCCCCACCATCATGACTTTGGTTCATTCGGTTCTCACCAACTGCCATGTGCTTTCTCTAATTTCCAGCAAAATTAATCACCCTCTTGAAGAACTTTACTTCTAGGCTGTTAGTAATAGTCTCAAACAAAATTGTTCTATCTCTCTGTGCTTTCTGGGTCTTTTCATTATTGTCATAAATATTTATGTATAATATCTTTCCTAATATATTTTTATTTAGGAGAGATAAGAAAGCCTTCCTCAGTCAGGAAGAAATAGAGGAAAACAATAGAATGGAAAAGACTAGAGATCTCCTCAAGAAAATTAGAGATACCAAGGGAAATTTTCATGCAAAGATGGGCACAATAAAGGACAGAAATGGTATGGACCAAAGAGGTGGCAAGAATACACAGAAGAACTATACAAAAAAGATATTCACAACCCAGATAATCACAGTGGTGTGATCACTCACCTAGAGCCAGATATCCTGGAATGTGAAGTCAAGTGGGCTTTAGGAAGCATCACTACAAACAGAACTACTGGAGGTGATGGAATTCCAATTGAGCTATTTCAAATCCTAAAAGATGATGCTGTGACAGTGCTTCAATCAATATGTCAGAAAATTTGTAAACTCAGCAGTGACCAGAGGACTGGAAAAGGTCAGTTTTCATTCCAATCCCAAAGAAAGGCAATCCCAAAGAATACTCAAGCTACTGAACAATTGCAGTGATCTCACACACTAGCAAAATAATGCTCAAAATTCTCCAAGCCAGGCTTCAACAGTGTATGAACCATGAACTTCCAGATGTTCAAGCTGGATTTAGAAAAGGCAGAGGAACCAGAGATCAAATTCCCAACATCTGTTGGATCATCGAAAAAGCAAGAGAGCTCCAGAAAAACATCTACTTGCTTTATGGACTATGCCAAAGCCTTTGACTGTGTGGATCACAATAAACTGTGGAAAATTCTTAAAGAGATGGGAATACCAGACCACCTGACCTGCATCCTGAGAAATCTGTATGCAGGTCAAGAAGCAACAGTTACAACTGGACATGGAACAAACAACAGACTGGTACCAAATCAGGAAAGGAGTACAGCAAGGCTGTATACTGTCACCCTGCATATTTAACATATATGTAAGTACATCATGAGAAATGCTGAACTGGATGAAGCACTAGCTGGAATCAAGATTGCCAGAAGAAATATCAATAACCTCAGATATGCAGATGACACCACCCTTATGGCAGAAAGCGAAGAAGAACTAAAGAGCCTCTTGATTAAAGTGAAAGAGGAGAGTGAAAAAGTTGGTTTTAAATTCAACATTCAGAAAACTAAGATCATGGCATCTGGTCCTATCACTTCATAGCAAATTAATGGGGAAACAATGGAAATGGTGACAGACATTTTTTTGGGCTCTAGCATCACTGCAGAAGTTTACTGCAGCCATGAAATTAAAAGATGTTTGCTCCTTGGAAGAAAAACTATGACCAACCTAGACAGCTTATTAAAAAGCAGTGACATTACTTTGCCAACAGAGGTCCATCTAGTCAAATCTATGGTTTTACCAGTGGTCATGTATGGATGTGAGACTTGGACCATAAAGAAAGCTGAAGCACTGAAGAATTGATGCTTTTGACCTGTGGTACTGGAGAGGACTCTTGAGAGTCCCCTGGACTGCAAGGAGATCCAACCAGTCCATCCTAAAGGAAATCAGTCCTGAATATTCATTGGAAGAACTGATGCTGAAGCTGAAATTCCAATACTTTGGCCACCTGATGCAAAGAACTGACTCATTTGAAAAGACCCTGATGCTGGGAAAGATTGAAGGTGGGAGGAGAAGTGGATGACAGAGGATGAGATGGTTTGATGGCATTACCGACTCAATGGACATGAGTCTGAGTACCTCTGGGAGTTAGCAATGGACAGGGAAGCCTGGCATGCTGCAGTCCATGGGTTTGCAAAGAGTCAGACATGACTGAGTGACTAAACTTAATATATTTTTATACCTCTTAAAAATTTGTTAGTTGAAATGAATGAAATGGAATGACTGACTCAAAAAATTTGCTAAAATATAAACCCACTACTGAAATCAAAGTTTTTAAAGCCTCCAGTATTATTTTTTAATCTCACACTCTACTTTCTTAAAAGTTTACTGAAAAGTAGTATTAACTGGTTCATTCTTTTGATGTTAACTACAACTTTGAGGAGAGTACTTTGAATTTGTAGTGTCAAAGCCTGAATTTAAATCAAGTTTGGGAACTCTTGGCTGTATGACCTTGAATGGGTTGATTTTCTGATTTTACTATTGCTTACATATTCATGAGTTCATTCAAAAAAAAAAAAAAACAAACAAGGTGCCATAAAAATATTTTTATTTGTGAGCAACCTAGTAAGTCCAAAATCCTCAGACAATTACATAACCAAGACCAAGGAATTTTCCAGTTCATGGAAGGAGTTGTATTCAAGAAAATACTCTTCTGTTTTCATTTTGCCCATACTTAGCTTTTCCAGAACATGGAAGATATATTATCAGGACTATAGAAACAAATACCATTAGCTCCAATGACCATATTGAGTTAGTGAGTGTTTGACTAGAGCTCTCAGGCAAGAACTGGGGACACATCCTGACATGTTAGTTTATGTCTTGTAACTTGCTGCAGTTCACTGGATGGATAACTATTTCAACTGATTTCTTGCTTCCATAGCTTGTAGCAAGTTATGGATGATGGGTCTCAACTAGGAGGTCAAACTGCTAATATTATTGTAATGAATGGGTCTCATTTTGCCAGCTGCATTTTAAGTTCCTCAGAAACAGGTTGTATCTTACACGTGTTATGTTATGCCATCATAACACAATATTAAGAACAAAAGTGTTATACATTTAAAACTCACTTTATGTATGGAAATCAGTTTAAAACTTTTGGGGTAAAATTAATTCAAGTTCTAAGTCATAGGCTCAAGAAGTAAAGAATCTAACACTGCTGGCATTAACTACAGTTGGGGGGCTGAGATTTCCTAAAGGTAAAATGCTTATTAGTATTGAAAGTAAATAAAGGGTAGAAATGATTCTTCCACAACATCCAGTCAAGTGCTTAGCCTCAACTCTTAACCCTAATTGAAAAGAAATTGGAACAGTGGTGAGCCACCTTTTAGAGCAAGGTAAAGGGACTCCATTACCCTTTACCCCATGTTACTGTGGTTCTACAATAAGGGTGAAAAAAAAGCAGAAATCCTCAAGAATAAAAATAACCTCAAAACAGAAGACATGAGGAAGGCAGGAAGAAACCATCTATACGGCAGCTCTGCCTCTACCATGCTGAGACTTGCAGAAGACAGTTTTAGCAAAGACTATGTTTTGAAGGCGTATAGTAAGTATTTGATTAAGTATTTCCAAATCAGGCCCATGGTTAGAAATAGGGACATTTCAGCTGGAGAACAGACAACCAGCATCACCTCACACTCAGCCTGCAAACTCCGTCTGAGGGTCTCTCTTTCCCTAAGATTTACAACGACGACAGGAACTCTAACTCTAGAGATTGAAGGCGTGCTCATCGGGCAGGATTTTGACAGTGACTCAGAAAAGAAGCGGGAGTAACATTCAAAAATAATGTTGAGAATATAATGAAGGTTTGATTGACCGCTTGCTGACTCTTCTCTTGAACGAGAATTATGTATCTTTATTTTAAAAATACTGCCTTACTGGTAGCTTTATTAGGTAATCACTGTGTAAGCTGTAAAGTTTTAACTTGAGTCATATTTTAATTTGACTCAAGATGTCCTACAGTTTTGAACTTAGGAGGCTCGGTTCTCTAAAGAGGAGCAGAAGCCCTTTCAGCAAATAAGGTGGTAAGGATGTCATTCAGTGGTGACTTAAATCATCTCCAGACACAAGATCCACGTCATCAAGGGAGTGTAAGAGGTAAGAAAGAAGGATCTATGATATAAAATTAGTACAGTTACTTGGTAGCCTGTTGATGTGCAAACTTTCTCACCAACAGTTCCCCTTTGTGGGAATTATGAGTTAGGAAATCAGACCAGATATGCAAATCCTCTACCTATTTTTCCTTGTTTATCACCTGACCTTGTGGTGAAACCCAACAATCAGCAGCCAGGAGGGTATGAGAAGGCCAACCAAGCCACCCACAGTCACCTAGGAGTGGATTATATATCTCTACCTGAACTTTAAGAAGATCCAAACATATGGATAATATATTTGAAATGACAATTCATATAACACACAAATAATCATTTTTCAAAAGTTTTTTGAAAGTGCAAACTCTTCTTATGGGGAAAAAAAAAGATGTACAAAAAAAAAAAAAATGACAACACAGTTTCCAGACTTATTTTCCATTGTTACCAGGTGCTTTGCTCATACTGATCTACTTGCCATTTCTCAACCTTTCCTGACTCTTCTGGTCAAGACATACCAATTCTTACAGAATTCCCTACAAGGAATCTCATCTATCAAGACCTACCCCATTCTTTAGTGACCTAACTCAAATGCCACCTCTTTAGATAAATCTTCTGTAGTCTAACCATACTGAAGTAATTATCAGTCTTACTCATGGAGCTCTGGCAAAGAGTGCTTCCTACTTAATCTCATCATATGTGTATGTATCTTGTCTTACTTCTTATGGGCAATATCCATGCCCTTTTTATACATCTGCCCCTAAATATCTTATACTTTTAACAAATAACTTAAATCTATATATAGGTTATCTCACATATAGCTTACTCATCCTGTACCTTTTACTTCCCTGGGTAAATTACTCATAATCTCTCTGAACCTTGGCTTTCTTATCCATAAAATAAGAAAATTAATTGTATGTATTTGACAAAGTCATGAGGGCCTAATGAAATAATCCATGTAAAAAGGCCATAAATCTTCTATTTTACTACTGTTATTACTGCCACATTATTATTTTAGAGGGCTATCTAATATTTTATGAAATCACACTTAGAATTCATGGAAATTTACAGTTGCATTGATCATGAGAATAAATATATTGTTTCAGTTTATATTACTCTATGACACATACAAACAAAAAATAAACAGGCACCTCTAATTTCAGTTTGACATCTTCTTTTGTCTTAGATATGTAGTCCAAACTAGAGATGGCCGACTCTACTCCACTGCAGTACTGCCCGTAAATAACCAACCTGAAAGGGAAAGAGAAAGAAAGCTGAGGACAAAAAGGCAAGATTAAAGTAGAAGAGGAAATCCATCTACTTAAATCCACAGTTAGATATAACCAAAGCAAATCTCACTCATCCTGCACTTCTTACTTTCTAGGTAACCCTGGACAGATTACTCAGAACCTCAGTTTTCTCATTTCTTTGAACACACACCACACTTACAGTATTCTTACCTGGAAAATCTTATGGACAGATGAGCCTGCGGGCTAAGTCGATGGGGTCACAAAGAGTCAGACACAACTTAGCGGCTGAGCACACACATACTTACAGTCCCAGAATTAGGGTCATCATATTTATGGTATTAAAAATGACTATTTTTAATTTCCAAATTTGAACGGAATAGATTCCATGTACATTTTTATAGCAGGCAGATTTTACAATCAAATTTAATGACTGTTAATATTGTTGGAGTGGGCTTCCCAGGTGGTGCTAGTGGTAAAGAAACTGCCTGCCAATGCAGGAGACACAAGAGACTCAGGTTCTATCCCTGGTCAGGAAGATCTCCTGGAGTAGCAAATGGGGGTCCACTCCAGTATTCCTGTCTGGAGGATTCCATGGACAGAGGAGCCTGGAGGGTTACAGCCCATGGGGTTGCAAAGAGTCGGACACTTAGCATGCACACACACACATTGTTGGAGTACATGTATACATCAAAAATAAAATTAAAATTTCTGTTCAAGTTTCTGTTAGAGATCAACTTGTATACTGTTTATACTCACTCAGGAACAGTTTTATTTTCTATTACAATTTCACTGTAATCACTAGTTACAACTCCACTCATTAATAAAACTTCCTACTCCTTCCCACTTTTTAATTAAGAAAAATACATTATCTGAAAAGTGGGAATGAGAGGCCTGAGCTGTGCTGGATAGGAGATCATTCATACTGCATGGGGTCTGAGTCTACTTCAGGAAGGGTATCTCTGGAGTGACACCAATTTTTGCAGAGAGTCTGGTTAATTTATTGTTTCTTTTAGCTTTCTGGTGGAAGAAATACTACTATATTAATATTTATCTAATGTTGACACAAAGCAATTAATTAGGCACTTCTGGGTACTATGAACTATAGGGCTTGATTTAAAAAGAGAGTGCTATATTTTAAGCAAAATTCCTTGGTACTTCTAATTCATGTGAAAGTTTCAGAAGATTTTTTTCAAACTCTGAAAGAGAAATTGACTTTGCCTGTGAATCTAATCCTCCAAAATAGAGAATTATAAGCTATTAGAGTTGGAAAAAGCAGTAAGTACCAACTAATGTACCCCTAACATTTACAGACAAAGAAAAGGAGGCTCAGAGAGTTAAGATGACCTCTTGAAGTCTATATATAGGACTCAAGAGTGATAGGTCTGTACAAGAACCTACACTTTCTGGTGTTCAGGGCAAAACTTGGAACTCTTTTTTTTTTCTTTTTTCCTGGTATATATATATATATATATATAGCTCAACCACCATCCTGAGATTAACTGTCCCATGTTCTAATTACTTCCCAGGTAGTATCTTAATGAACCGTATTTACAGCTATTTATGAGACATTTTAATACTAACCCTCACTGTAATTACAAATTAATAGCCACGAAGTTTAAAACGCAAAAGTTACCTTTCCTTGTAGTTAATGAAAACTTGATACAAGTTCTGGTCATTTTTATTCACAATGGAATCATGAATCTCTTGCATTAGGTTCCGATGAACTTTCACAAGTTCCTTAGAAAAGAAAACAATGGCAAGAGAAATTAGGAATCAAAACAACAACAACAACAACAAAAAACCCATCACCTGGAGCTCAGCATCCCTACTGCTGCCAGACTTGCCATTCAAGGATCTGCTGAATGCCCTCAATATATAAACCTGCTCCCATCAGTAAAAAAGCGGAAGAGGAGGAGGGGAAGAAAGGGGAGGGGAAGGAGAGAAGAGAAAGAAAAGAGAAGGGGAAAGGAAAGGAGGGGAGGAGAAGAGGAGAGGGGAAGGGAGGGAGAGAGGCCATGTACATGGAAATAGCCATTTCAGATCTGACTCAAAATGTCAGTATCCTGTGGAAAGAGAAATTATCTCACTAGTTACTAAAGGGTAATTTATTCCTTGTAAAAAAAAATATGTACAGTTCATTTTCATTTTATAATCACTTTAAATTTTTAAATAAAACTACCCAAATGCATAATGTTTTATTGACAGGATAAAGTAATGATTCGTGTCCTTGGGACACGAACATGTAGATTTGTACTTGGGTCCATTAGTGGTGTCCTGGAGCTACGCTAACAATCATCAGACTAAATTACTTGAAACCAGACAACTAATGGCATAAATAAGCAGCAAATAAATTGTAGTAGGCCGTTTAATAGGGCAACTCAAAACTCAAGGATTTCACATTTTCCTGATAAGCAAGTCATTTTCAGTCAGACGGTAAAACACATACCACAGCTGGGAAACGACGAGACTCAAGTCAAAGTGTCAATTCTCCGACTACCTCTTCCCCTGTACCTTGCAGCATATAAGGACTGCGGGGCTTACCTGTCCTCAGCAGGTGTAAGTAAAACACAAGTATGTTGGCCCTATCACTATTTTTTTCCTCTATCACTTTTTTTTTTCTCTATCACTTTTTTGAGGAGCATGGAAAAGCCGTTAGAGTAAGGGCTGTCAAACAGGTCCTAAGTTATGGTGACCATATATAACTGGTTTGATACTTATCTTCCTAGAATGTGTGGCTTGTTTTTTTTTAATTTGTTTTTTATTGAAGTATAGTTGATTTCCAATGTTGTGTTAGTTTTAGGTATACAGCACAGTGATTCAGTTATATACACACACACATACATATATATATATTCTTTTTCAGATTCTTTTCCCTTACAGATTATCCCAAAATATTGAATAGAGTTCTCTGTGCTATACAGTAGGTCCTTGTTGGTTATCTGTTTTCTTTTTATTTTTAATTTATTTATTTTAGTTGGAGGCTAATTACTTTACAGTATTGTAGTGGTTTTGTCATACATTGACATGAATCAGCCATGGGTGTACCTGTGTTCCCTATTCTGAACCCCCCTCCCACCTCCCTCCCCATCCCATCCCTCTGGGTTATCCCAGTGCACCAGCCCTGACCACCCTGTCTCATGCATTAAACCTGGACTGGCGATCTGTTTCATATATGATAATATACATGTTTCAACGCTATTCTCTCAGATCATCCCACCCTTGCCTTCTCCCACAGAGTCCAAAAGACTTCTATACATCTGTGTCTCTTTGCTGTCTCACATATAGGATTATCGTTACCATCTTTCTAAATTCCATACATATGTGTTAGTATACTGTATTGGTGATTTTCTTTCTGGCTTACTTCACTCTGTATAATAGGCTCCAGTTTCATCCATCTCATTAGAACTGATTCAAATGTATTCTTTTTAATGGCTGAGTAATATTCCATGGTGTATATATACCACAGCTTTCTTATCCATTTGTCTGCTGATGGACATCTAGGTTGCTTCCATGTCCTGGCTATTATAAACAGTGCTGTGATGAACACTGGGGTACATGTGTCTCTTTCAGTTCTGGTTTCCTCAGTGTGTATGCCGAGCAGTGGGATTTCTGGGTCATATGGCAGTTCTATTTCCAGAATTTTAAGGAATCTCCTGTGTGGCTTGTTTTATGCTAAACATTCATTTGATAATTGCGAGCTTTTTCTTCCTTCTGTTACAGATCGATAAGAATGTCTTCATTTGGCCATAATCAGGGAACAAGGACAACATGCCACAGGTCATCAACTCGTGCACAGCAACACTAAATATAAAGGAATCATAATAGTAGGGACCTCACAGGGAACACAAGCAAGCCTGTACATCAAAGCTTATATACTGTATATAAAAGCTATATCTTAAAACCGAGGCCAATTCCAGAGGACTAAGAAGTTGAATCTTGCCTAGCAAGACTGTACACAGTATTGCACTTGGCTTGATTCTAGGCTTCTTAGTAAATATTCCTTTAGGATTATAAGGTACCCTGAAATTTGTAATGACTGTATAAATGTGAAGAAAAGTTCTTCACATCTTATTAAAATAGATAGTTTTATCAGAAGGAAACAGTGTATTTCAGAAATGGAAGTTTATTATGTTATAACCAGAAGTAAAAAACACCAAAAAGCAGGAGGGAACTTCAGGAATGACAGTAAGTGGAAGAGAGGGATGAAGCCAGGACAGTGTCTGTAAGATGGGGTCGAGAACAAGATGGGGCTGGAGAACAGAGAGCAAGGAGTGGGGCAGAAGGGAACTCCCCTGAGACAAAGAGACTGTAACACCAGGGATTAACTGGGGCTACCTTGTCATGACAAACAATTACATACATGAGTCTTATCCATTTGTGTTCAGCATACATTTTGATTGATTTTTGGTTGACAATATGACATGGCAGTTATTTCCAGAAAATAAGACTATAAGAACTCAGGAGGCAGAAAATTGGGTTAAATTTCTTAGAGGATATGATGTTCAAGTAGAGAACCACTAAGTAAATAAAGATTTTATAGAAGTGTAGCTCAATTTTTACTAGCGATTTTTACTTACAGGAATGTTGATGAATACTGAATCAAATTCTGCTGCTGTCAGAAATCTTTTCAATGGTGCCATGAAATACTACCAGGAGAGAAGAGAGGGGTAATAATTAATCACAACTTATCCTAATCCATATGACAGTTTTTCATCAAGGAGCAATAAATATTTATTGAAAATTAATCAGTTTTATGAATACCAAGAAAAAAGCAGAAACTATTTTCTCTGTCATAAAGATTCAATACTTGAACAGAGATATAAGACATAAATACAGGTTAATAGATTTAAAATATGAAATAAAAGATTTGGCCTATAAATGCTTCTAAAATTAAGAAAAGAAAAAAAAAAGAGAGAGAGAATGCCATTGGCTGAATTGGCAAACAATGGCAACATTTTGGAGATATATTTAAGGACTAATATAAAATATCCCTCACATGCTTTGTGGAGATTCTAGATCTCTGAGATAAATAATCTGCTTATGAAATTTAGGGATGACTCCCTTTCATTCCTTGAGAATTCTAGTTCCTGGCCTATCATATCTCTGGTCCATTACTACCCCATCTTTCTTGTTGACCATTTCAGTAACTATGTAGATGATCCTTCCAATATCCTGGCCTCTTATTTCCTTGAACTCCAACAATCTGTGCCCCATTCTAGCTGAGCTCCTCTTGCGATCATAGCCCAAGACCCTGTCATTACCAACCACTGCATGTGCTCCAGAGAATTAATTTGAAGCTGACCTCTACCCTCCTACCTTTACAGCTCTTCCTCCAAAGACCTCTCCAACCTACTGGGTCTGCCCATCCCCTGATCATCCCACAGTCCCTCATATCCTCACTTCCCTTCTTACCCAGTGTACATTCCACTAGTCATCATCAGAATCACTGCCCTGCAAATACCCTTACTCTTTTTTTTTTCTGGAAAAATGAAAAGCTGGTTAAATCTAGCTTTCCATATATTTTGTGCCTGTACCTAAGAAGTTAAACAGAAGCTATATTGATAGCTAGTTCAAAAAATAATCACAGAACTCAACTGAACCTTCACACTATATAATCCCAGTACATTCACCCTCTCATTGTCTTAAACAATTCTTTCACACCTTCATCTATTTTTTTAAACTTGAAAAACTGTCTGCTGGTTCTCATTCTCCTAGTCTCCAAATGTGGAAGTCACCAGAAGTGATCTTAAACCTCTTCTCTATCAGCATTTATTCCCTTGGTGGTTTCCTCTAGTGCCAAGGCCTTAAACACCATTGCATAATGATAAATGCCAAATTTATACATCAATTCAACTTTTCCACCAAATGTCAGACACATATATCTAACTTCCTCCTCAACACATCCCGATAATAGGTATTACAAATGTAGCAGGTCCCAGCAGACTCATGATCACACACCTATCCTTTCCCATCTCAGTCACCATTGTCATAAAAACCTAGTGTTCTTGATTGCTCTTGTCCACACATCGTTTACCTAATTCATCATCAAATCCACTAGGCTCTACTTTCAAAGCTTATTCAGAACCTGACTACTCTCTACCACCTTTACCAATACTATCACTTTCTGTCAACTTTATTACTGCAATGTTCTTCTAATATTTTCCCCCATTTCCACCCTTGCCTGACAAGAGGCAGAATGAGCTGCTAAAAACTTACATCAGATCCCATTACTTTTGCTACGCACGACACTTCAGCTTTGAGCCAGGTGTTCCCACATGCCCCCTGTGCCTCGGGGGCTCCGCAGGCTTCCCATCTCAGTCTCCCCTGCACACAGTCTGCCTCCCATCTCAGTCTCCCCTGCACACAGTCTGCCTCAGCCTCCGGGCCTGCTCTGTTCACTGAAGCGCACTGAACACTGTCCCACGTGAGGGCCCTTCTCCCAGGGATCGTCTGCTCTGGGATATTCACATGGCTCGCTCCTCAATTCACTCAGCTGTCTGCTTACATACGACCTGACCATAGAGGCTTTCCATTACCACTCTACATAAGATAACACCAGCTTCCCCCATCACTCACTATCCCCTTCCTCTGCCGTATTTTTCTTCAGAGGACTTATCACCACCTGACATACTTAACTTGCTCAGATTATAAACCCTCCCATCAGAGTCAGGAGAACTATCGAGTTTAGTTGTGTTGGTGGCTATACCCTCAGTCCCTAAATTAGGGCCATTTAGACACTATGAAATCAATAAATCGTTATGGGATTGTGGGACGAATAAATCTGCTTTGAGATCTTTAAATCCAAAATTATACTGAATATCAGAATACACAGACACTGCAGAAACACTGAGCCTAATGCATTAACTATACAAGGCAGTACAGCAAGTCCCTGACAGACAAATGCGTTCCATTCTGAAAGCGCATGAGTAAATTCAAGTTCAACAGTTAGTATAGGTACCCACTTAACACAATCAACTATATAGTACTTTACTGTAACAGGTTTATAATACCTTTCACACAAATAATATACACATTAAAAAAAAACCAAAAATATTTTAAATCTTATAGTACAGTACCTCAAAAAGTACAGTACAATAGCTGGCATATAGGGACTGTCACATACATTCACATCTTTGAAAGTTCACAACATGAAGGTTCGTATGTAGGTGACTTACTGTGTGTGAAAATCGAGAATACCTAATGACTTACTTTTTCTATTGACTCCAGGGTTTCCGTATATTTTTCTTCTGTCTGCTTAATTTCTGCTAGGCAGCAACTTCGTATATCATTTTCTGGACATTTCTACAATTAGAATTTTCAAATTAAAATTATTTGATCAAATTCATATATTAATCTCTTCAGTAGAAGATAGAAATAAAAATTATTTCATTTTTAAGCATTCCATTCTAACACCATGATTTCTTTTTTGTTTGTTTCTGTTCTTTTGTTTTGTTTTGGCCATGCTGCATAGCTTGTGGGATCTTAATTCTCTGATCACGGATGGAACCCATGCACCCTGCAGTGGAAGCATGGAGTTCTAACCACTGGACCACCAGGGAATTCCCAGGTCTTCCATTCTAATAACACAAATAACTTAAAGATACATTGAACCACATTTGTGAAGGATCTTTGCTTTTAAAGGGCTTCCCTGGTGGCTCAGATGGTAAAGAACCTGCCTGCAATGCAGGAGACCCAGCTTCAATCTCTGGGTCAGGAAGATCCCCTGGAGGAAGGGCATGGCAACCCACTCCAGTATTCTTGCCTGGAAAATTACATGGACAGAGGAGCCTGACGGGCTGCGTAGTGTCACAAAAAGCTGGACACGACTGAATGACTAACACACTTTGCTTTTTAAAAAAATGTGAACAATGTAAATGCAAAGGTTTGAGATAATTAAAAATATACTATGAGTATACTCTCTTTAAACTGAAGCATCTATTTTATTATAAACGTAACTCAATCTGGAAACATTATGAATGGTCTAATACCATTTTCTTAATGTACAGCATACAAGTGCTATAGAAATAACTGCAAAAAATCATAAAAGGATATTTGATAAGTAAGAAAATCTTAAAATATTTTTTCAAGAGTTAACATCTTGATGTTTGTTTTTTACTAAGTGTTTAAGACTACAGGCAGAAGAACATGGTAAGACCAAAGGTTTGGGGACCAGACAGAATTGGGTTCAAGGACCAGTTTTACTGTCATTTAGCTTGTCATTGTGAAGAAGTTACCTAATTTCTCTGTCTCAATTTTCTCATCTATAAAACAAAATTACAGTACCCAGCCCAAGGATCTGTAAATGAGATAACCCATGTGGTGCGCCTAACACCCTGAGGAGTGGACTAGAAGTGCCCTATGCATTCTGTCATCATCACTGCTCACCCTGGGCCACATGGACAGCCCAGCATCGTCAGCTCAGTGAAGACAGTCCTTGGGAAAGACAGTGAAGAATCTGCTGGTGCCCAAAGCAGCTGATAGTTTAAGGGGGCACAGACAATACTTTGTCACCTAAAACACTTAAAATGCTGCCACAGGTGTCCAATCAGCTGGTGCAGCAAGTTAAAGCACACAGTTATGACATTTACCAAACACAGGCCAGCCAATCTGTCTTCATCCCACAGAAGCTGCTGCTCCCTACCTGGACATCAGACAACTTGCCAGCCTTTTATTAAATGCAAGAGGTCAAAGAGAGCTGAGAGAATTCATCAAAGTACTGAAGAAACCTAAACTACACCTAGCTCATGAAGAAAGGCTTTTGTGTAAAAAAAGACTATGTTAATAGAAGTTTAAGCAACTGACTTTTTTCTTTTTTTTTTTTCTATTTCAAATTACAGATGAGAAAATCATTGAAAGTTAATTCTGAATGCTTTACATATTTTCATGCAGATAGTTTTGTGGGCTCATATTGACTATGGTAATATCTGAAACTAGGTTTATAAAATAGCAAAAAAATGCTAGGAGACCTATAATGAAACAAAAGAAAGGAAAATACCTTATATCAACTCCTAACAAACAGGAAGAAATATTCTTTAACATATATTTTATGCCACATCAAATTTAAAGTAGATTTATCTGCTTTGTAAGAGATTTCCTTTCATAACAGTATAATTTTATGATTCCCTGAAATTATGCTCTATTGCCACTCTGCTTTATTTAGCTGGGTGGCATGCCCTTTACCTCTCAGACTTGATTTTTCTACTAGTAAAATGAAAGGATTAGACTAGAGATTCCCTATGGATGTTCTGAACTGCACAATGTCACATTTTGTGCACTTCAGTTGTGTCCAACACTTTGCAACTCTACAGACCGTAGCCCACCAGGCTCCTCTGTCCATGGGATTCTCCAGGCAACAATGCTGGAGTGGGCTGCCACGCCCTTCTCCAGGGCATTTTACAGTCCCAGGGATTAAACTCACATCTCTTGTGTCTACTGCTTGGGCAGACAGGTTCTTTACCACTAGCATAACGTGGGAAGCCCAACATCATGTTCATATGCCTCCAAATGCAACAATATGTCATGGTTATACAATTATACATAAAAAGGGATGGCTTTGATGGTAAAGCATCTGCCTGTAATGTGGGAGACCTGGATTCAATTGCTAGGTCAGGAAGATCCCCTGGAGAAGGGAATGGCTACTCACTCCAGTATTCCTGCCTGGAGAATTTCATGGACAGAGGAGCCTGACAGGCTACATTCCATGGGGTCACAAAGAGTATGACACGACTGAGCAACTAACATTTTTCAAACATTAAAAAGGAAACAAAAAATGATTCCAGCAGAAGTTACCTAAATAATTTTAACTATTATATTAATTACAATCATTTCATTACAATTGCAATTAATATACTTATTACATGAATATTACTTTATTTTATTAATTATAATTATCATATTAGTTAGCCATTCAAATAATCACTTTCCTAATAAAATAATTCAGACTAACAAGTCATGGTTATACAGTTAAAAGCAAGATAAGAAAACAAAAGGCGACTCGAGCAGAAATTAAACAACTAATTATAACTATTGTATTTGTTATAATGTTAATTATAGCATAAATATTGTATTAATTATAATTATTGTATTAATTAGTCCTTCAAGTAATCACTTTCCTTATAAAATACTCAGTAACTTAGAAACGTCCTAGCCAGGTCAAAGTCCTACCGACTGCTGAGCTTCCTCCGCCTTCATCAGGTCCTCGTATACCTCGCCACCTTCATCCTCCCCATACACACAGTCATACAGACCCTCTTCATCTTCCACGTGGGTTTCACTGAAACAAAGGGTACGACATAAATGTCATTTCTGTCATGCAGTAAACACAATAGTGAGAAACAGGTTACTGGATTTTAGTACAAAACCCAGATCAACTAGAGTGGGATGAGTGAAAGGCTCACATTCCAGCTCTGTCCCTCCTGATAAGAACGACGACAAACAACAGAATCCGACAGTGACAGTAGTGAGCTAACACTCACTGGGCATTTACTGCATCACTCTGCATGGATTGCCCTCGTTTGCCCAGGCCCAGCATTTACTGTGTTAACAGGTAGGCATGCCGTTTGGTCAGTCATAGTGACAAGGATTTTGAGAGAGAAAAAGATTCTTTGACTTGCCCAGAATGACACAGCTCATCCAAGGGCAAAGCCAGGATTTAAAATTCAGGCTACCTTACACTCTGAGTATTTTAACTGCTCTATTATCATGCTTGTTGTTCAGTTCTTAAGTCGTATCCGACTCTGTGGATCCATGGATTGTAGCACACCAGGTTCCTCTGTCCTCCACGATCTCCCAGAATTTGCTCAAATTCATGTCCACTGAGTGGGTGATGCTATCTAACTATCCTCCTCTCTTCCTGCTCTATTTCACGGCCTCCCACTTATCATATGTCAAGGCCTCATGGGAATTCCCTGGTGGTCCAGTGGTTAGGACCAGGCATTTCCACCGCCCTGGCCCCAGATTCATTTCCTGGTTGAGATATTAAGATCTCACATGCCTTGGCCAAAAAAAATAAAAGTGTCAGTTTCATCATCTGTATGAAAGGATATACTATGGAGAAGACAGAGGAGTTAGGAAGGAGTTACTATTTATAAATAATATTTTTAAAGCATTAATTTCTGTTGATTATAATCATCAATATCTAGTGCAATAGTTTTCAAACCATGTTCCTTCAAGGCCACTCAAAGGATACCCATAGGTTCCCTTTGAGTCAGGTTCCTTTTTTATCTGTTTTACTTGTATTTTGCTTAAAGAAAAGGTCCCAAGGCCACAAGACATTTTTAAAAGCCTTTTAAATTCTTCTGCTAGTCTCCCAGCAATGGAAAATAATCTCTATTTTTACAGCTTCCATGAATGCTTCCACAGTGACTGATTGATGTATCATCCCTAAACTCTTCATGTGAGACAGTAAACCTGTTCAAAGTAGAAACAGCCGCTCCTACCTATCACCCATTCTATCACTACTCCTTGAGTTTTTCCTTTCCATTCAAGAGTTCCATAAATAGCTTCTACTAACAAATAATACCAAAGAACTGAGATTAATAAATTAAGGTGTGTTAAAAAGAAGCATTAACCTCTCTCGGAAAAGAAATTCCACTCCTCCAATACTGCCAGCCCTTAGCATTTCTCTTGGGCCTGTGCAGATAGAACATTACAAATTGATATGTATAAAAATAAAAACATTGTAAGTATAAATGTCACTCTGCAACTCGGAGCATTTTTCAAAGTAGGGGCGATCACAAGGTTGTCTACGTTTGTCAGGAAGAGTTATTTGGAGGCACTTGACAGAAAGGAACTGTCAAACACCCAGAAGAAAGAAAGGTGCCTTAAGGCAGAGCAATCTAGTGGTAAGACAAGCTACAGAGAACTCTGCTCTGAGAAAACTCATTCCAAGATGACTTGTCCTCATGTCTACCCACCTACCTGATTTTTACTAAGAACCTACTGATTGCCAGATCCAGAAGAATGCCTAGATCCAGAAGATCCAAGGGCTCTCCCATTGTCTAATGTGGAAAACAGCACAGAAACACAGAATTCTATGATGCAGAGGAAAGAGTAAGCGATACTCTGACTAAGGAAGTCAGGGAAGGCTTCACAGAAGATATTACATCCGAACTGGATCTGCAGTGTATTTATTGAGTCAACATGTATTTGGTGAATAAATACCATGATCCAGGAGATATAGCCACAGATGAGGCAGACACAGTTGCTGCCCTCAGGGATGACACATTGAATGAGAAGACGGGATGAGTATTCAGACAAAGGACACCAAGCTGTGAGAAGGAAGGTAGGTGTGCAGAGCCTGGCAATGTGAAGGCTGGAGTCCCGTCCAGGTGAGTGAGGGGAGATCCAGAGAAGAAGAGCTAACCAATCTGAGAAGAGCCTTGTCCTCTGTGAGCTGAACTTTACCTGGGCAACTGGGGACCACGGAGGGGTTATAGAGGGGTAATGTGGAGAGTGAAGAAGTCAGACAGGGAGATGGGGTGGGAGGTAATGAACACCATAACTAGGGTAAAAGAAGGTGAGGAGAACAATGTAGAGACTGTGTGAAGTCCAACCAACCAGACTTGGGACCAATCTGGGTTAGGGGGAGGGAAGAAGGAGTGAAGGATGCTTCTCAGCTTTCTACTCTGGAAAACTAGGGACATGGTGAGTCATATTGGCAGTTCCAGAATTTCCATACTGAGGGGCTTAGGCAGGCAGCCTCCTCTGAGAACAATGGGGCAGCTCAACTAGTTTGAGTACTTTCCATAACCCATCAAAGGATAAGAAGGTTTGATGAGGTCATGAAGGAACTGAGATTTTAAAAAAAGATAAAGGAGTAGGTTCTATATCAAAGGGGATCCTGTTCAGAAGGAAGACAGGCTGTGAAATCCATTTCCTACCTCAGACGCCCCAACTTGCCCTCCACCAAACAACAACAACAAAACAAAAAGCAAACAAACAAAAATGACATCATCTTGCTTAATTCTTGCTATTGACTATTTCCCACAAGAGCAGAGGCATATATGTATAAATACACACAGATTTTTCTCTAAGAACTGCAGGAGGGACACACATGTATCCACACACGTTGCGACTGGACTAGAACAGTTTGGGTTTTATTATTCAATCCCATAGTAAAACTGTTTCTTGCTAACAGTTTGGTCAATAGTTTCTGATTTGTATAAGATGAAGAGGGGAGAGGAAGGAAGGAGCTGTGATTTTTCAAATGGTCAATAGATCAACAGCCATCCATATTAGCTTTCCTGTGTCCAGGCCATCAATATATGGTTACATCTGACACTCTGGTCACGAAAGCTGGAGGAGAAAGGACACTGTACAGTTTAGCCATCTCACATGCTCTCCGCGCCATCCTGCATCAGCTTCTCTCCACATCAGGAGAGAATGTTTCCCCCTGCAGTGCGGAGCAGAGTAGACCACTGTTTGTTCCGGGGGCCTCCCTTCAGACAATTCACCCCCAAAGGTGACAGTGAAGTATGTGAAGCCACAGAGCTCATCACAAAGCCAAGACTGAAGATCAAGACCTTACGGCATCTGCAGGAAACACAAGCATTTGGACCTCCAACTCCAGGTGGAGAGGTGAAACTGATTTCAAATGCAAGCATCTGCAGGAAACACAAGACATTTGGACCTCCAACTCCAGGTGGAGAGGTGAAACTGACTGCATCTCCCAGGGCAGCCAGGCTGGGGACCCGGATTTTCTCCAAACTTGCATCCTCACAGACAAATTCTGACATCAACAGAACAAGATGAGCAAGACTATAGGAACGAGTAAGTATAAGTGACAAATGGTGGAGGTTAAAAAATGTCATCATAGCACTGGAAATAATAATATTTTTTTAAGACTACAAAGAATTTAATTATATTACCAGTAATCTTATAGTCACTTGATGAAGACTATAGCCAATTCAATGAGACACTCAGTAATGACTTTACTGAAGATTAGTAAATTCTAGGAGATTTTAAATAGAATTAAGAAATCCTTCTTCTTCTTCTTTTTTTTGGCTGCTCCAGGTCTAAGTTGCAGCATAACATGAGGGATCTAGTTTCCTGACCAGGGATCAAACCCAGGCCCCCTGAAATAGTAGCACAGAATCTTAACCACTGGACTGCCAGGGAAGTCCCAATAAGAAACCATTCTTGATGGACATTTGCAATATTAGACTTTATGGCCCATCCATATGCAGCCTACTCCAGGAGGGCTGCTGGCCGGCCCTATGGCTCCTATCACAGAGCTCTCCAGCTGAAAGTTCTTGGAGGAGCAAGGCAGGGTGCTTGTGGGAGTCAACGCAGTGAGCTAGAATAAGAACTGCATGGGTTCAAACCCAAAGACTACTATTTACTAGCAATACGATCTTTAGCAAGTTACTGAGCTTTTCAAGGCTCAGTTTTCTCATTTGTAAACTGTGGTGATACTAGTAACAACTTCATAATGTGGTGTTACATGAGAGAGTGTGTGGAAACATGGTTAGCACAGGATCCTAGGAACTGATAGATGTCTCCTAATGGACAGCTCAAGCCTGAAATATCGCTCCTGGAAGAGGTAGATGCTCAATGCAGCTTTGGCCTATTTATTCAGAAAACAGATATTTATGGAGGGCCTACTAGATACTAGACACCGTTTGAAGTGCTAGGAAAATAGCCAAGAACAAACTAAAGTCCCTGATCTCGTGAAGTCGGTCTTCTAATGAGGAGATGGACAGTACATGAAGCAAACTGAGACTACCTCAGGCAGAGGCGAGTACCATCAAAGCACAGGGCAAGGGAAGTGGGGTGACCATTTCGGGTCAGGCAGTCAGGAAGGCTTCGCTGGGAGGGCCATCTGAGTGAAAACTCGAATGGTGAGGGGTCAGCCACAAGAGCGGAATGCACAGCAAGTGTAGAAGTCCTAGAGTAGGAACAAGCTCCCTATGCTGGGGTTATCAGGATGGATAAGTGGATGAATTTCCATAGGACCTGAATCTCTCCTGGAGCAGAATCTATGTCTTATTACAATTCTCTGCAAACACACCTGATCTTTGGCATCAGTTCCCTGAGGGGTGAGGATCACGTTTCATATTTATTTGTAATCTGCACAAGTCACTCAATCAGCAGGAGATAATCAGCTGCAAAGACCTTTAGCCTCTCCTGGCTATTTAACAATATGGCCCAAAAAGATTCTCTGTTCAGAATCAACACCATCTGATGAAACACCCCTGAATAACCCCCACCCACAATAATCTTGTCCACCCTTGAACTTGCACAGCAAGCATTATCTGTCCTCCAAGTCTAATGGTAGATTCTACTTCTCTCTCTGATTGTTTCTTACTTTTCTGATTCCAGGTTCGTAGATTCTACTTCTCTCTCTGATTGTTTCTTACTTTTCTGATTCCAGGTTCGTCTACAATGCCTCTACAATGCCTTTGAGAAACTTCCAAATGTTAACTTCATTGCCGTCTGTTTCTTTACTCTCCATAGAGACTCACACAATGCAAGATACACAACAGGAATTAAGTCACTTGAAGTACATTTTCTTGTGAACATTTCCATCAGGAGTTTGAGGTTAATTCTTACATATCTTAATCACTAAGCCACAGTTCCCCTTTAGATAGCTATTTTCACACCTATGGTTAAAATTCACAAAGGATGCAAAAATCGGCAGTGGTGTTAATTTTGCTGAAATTTTGCTGAAAATGCTCAACATACTCGATTAAATCAGGCAGGCCTTTGTAGATGTCATCATCATTGATGCTTTCTTCTGTCGGGAAGGGCCTAGGAGGGAGCGGAAAAAACAGTGAATGAGCAACAACGAGGCTGGACATTTACCACTCACTAAACACAAAAGTTCAGCTGCAGCCAAAGTGGTCAGGTCAGTCACCATGCTTCACATGACATCTGGGGTTTCTCCCAAAGTGTGGGACCCTGTGGCTGTGTCAGGGTCCCCCAGGAAGGCTGTGGCACCTGCTACCCCAAAACCCCTGTGGCAATCACTGCTGGTCACTACAGTCATGTGAGTGGATGTAGATGTGCTAAGGTGCTCACCAGTTCCCACCAGCCACACATCTGCAGGCTCACCTCACCGCTCACTGCAGCTTCCCGGTTCAGAGGGGGCCCTTATCTTCCACGTTGTCTCTTTGCACTTAGAGAATCTGATCTGACAAATAATTTGGTAACAATCCTCCAAGCATGACTCGGTTTACTAGTATCAATAAAAAAATTAGAAGTAAAAAATGTCATGTCCTCTATATATGATCACTGACTCTGATATAATTTTCTACTCAGACCATAAACTATATGTCATATTTTAAAATTTTCATCTATTGGACAAATGAGTCAAACAGGCCTCATGGAGAGTATGGTGTTTTCTTTGTCCCCTGGTCAAAGAAAATCACTTTAATTTATGCCCTGTTCCTAGCCATTGACTTCCGTTTGCCTCACGCTTTGACCTTTGTTCATAACAACAACATAATGCCCTAAATTTACATCTAACAAAATCACAGTGATTATACTATGGTGCCAAAAGTTTTACCCTTTCTTTACATACAGCCAGCATGTCATATGTTTCATAAAAACAAGAGGACCCATCAAAATAACAAATAAGCACTAAATAATTATATTTAGTATAGGGAAAATATTTCACACTGGTTTACAGATTAATACTTAGGACATTTAAGGAACATACATTTTTCAAATAAATTAATATGTATGAGAAATGCCAGTTTCAAAATCCTTTTTTAAAATAAATATCTTGACACATTTTATTATATTCTTATATACAAGTTCATCGTAGGAAAAACTGAAATTATAAATAAGAGTAATTAAAAAGGAAAAAAAAAGTCCTATGTATCCTTTCAGAATTAACCATATATAAACACATAAAAACATGCTATTTCAAAATCTTCTGCTAGCTTATAACAAAATATATGCTGACACGGAAAGAGAATCATAAACTGGAGAGGAGATGACAGAGCATGCAACGTTTATCCAACCTATAGACTCCCTCTATAGAAAGCTGCCAAATTCCTGGTCCGTTTCTGAGAAAGGGTCTGTGAGGCATCCTCCCCAAGGTCACTATGCTTTGTACCCAAGGACTGGGCTGCCCAGCCACAGCTGATTAAAGCTGTAGACACACTTGCATCCCCTCTGTTGGAATCTGAATGTGAACAGAAAATTCGAAGCAACAGAAGACGAGACAGAGGTTCAAGAGCCCCATAACAGCTAGAGACAGTTATAGACCCCTGAGGAAGTCACATGAGAAATGAGATCCATTCCATTTCCATGTGGCTGGTTGTGTGACTGCTGAAACTGCTTTTCTGTATTTCTAACATCATTAACAATACAACTTTCTAACTGAACTCACTTGGATATGCTGTATTTTAAACAGAAAAAGCCCAACACAACATATGTATCTCCATTTCCATACTTGCTGACTGCATAATGCTTCACTGCCTGGAAAGTAGAATTTAACCAATTTACAGTTGACCGTTGAACAAGATGGTCTGACCTGCACAGGTCCACTTATAAACTGACTTTTTTCAGTAGTACATACTATACAATCCATGGTTGGTTGAAACCGCTGATGCAGAGGAACAGCAGATGCAAAGTATCAACTGTAAGTTATACTCAAATTTTCAAATGTGTGGGCAGTGGGTGCCCCTAATGCCCACACTATTCAAGGGTCAACTATAATTCCAAGATTTCATTTGGTACCAAACCTTCAGTAAATCTCCTTGCACATATATCATTTTGGTTGTCTGATTAATTCTTAAAATGCCTGAAAGTTGTGACTTCTTGTTATGGCTTATAGGATATAAATGTACTACAACATCTTTTAAAATATTTATTTAATTAAGCATTGTCTTAATGAATCACCTGCACAAAAATGTTAGAAGAAGTTAAAAACAAATAAACATATCAGTGATTGTCACCAGTAAATTGAGAACAATGTTTACCCAAGGTGTTTTATTCAACTCTACAAATAAGTTCTTACTTGCTCAACAAATTTCAAATGTCTATTGAGTACTTATGTACAAGGCATTCTGAGTGAATGAGATGCAGTCCCTGTGTGCAAAGTGTTTTACAAACAGTAACTATTTGATAAACAATCACTTCACTGAACTGAACAAGACACACGAACCATAGAGAAACCAGCTTACCTGATCCCTGTGGCCAACGCGATAGGTGTGCGAGAAAGTCGCGATAATGTTTCTATTACCTAAGAAAAGAGGACGGGGTTTATTAGATAAGCATTTCATTTAAAAAATTAGTTTCAAAAACTAGTTTTACTAGCTAATATTAACAATAGCAGCAAAAATGTAAATTTATAGATACCACAAAAGGGCAAAATGGGAAGAGCTATAACTGAGAAGTATAAACATTTGGGTTGTAATTTTGTCCCTTGCCTTAACTTCATGATGCTAAGCAAATGACTAGCCATCTGGTTTGCCATTTCTTGACCAGCAAAAACAAGGAGTTGGGCAAGTGAGTGCTAAAGGTCTCATATTCCCACTTCTACATGATCTGAAAGACCCTGTGTCCTCTTGCACTGTCCAAAACAGTAGCCACTAGACACAGAGAGGCTGTTTAAATTTAAATGAATTCACATTTTTAAAACAAAAAATCAAGTTCCTTAGTTGGACTAGCTTCATTGCAAGTGCTCCGCAGCCCATGCGCCAAATGGCTACTGCACTGGAGGACACAGACATGAAGCGCTTCCACTGAGACAGAAATTCACTGGCCAGCACTGCTTGTAGCACGCTAGTTCACCGGGAGACTCTCCAGCCAGCCCATGTGAGTGCTAATCCTGACTTCACCATCTATGGGCCATGCATCCTTAGACAAACTACTTAATTCTTTGGGTTTCTGTTTTCTCATGTGGATACTGCTTATAACAATTTAGATTATTAATAATCCTTACCTTATTATAAGAATTAAAAAGATAACGCATGTAAAGTATTTATAGGGTGGCTATTTTTACAAATGCCAACTTTAAGAAAATTATCTTATTCTGATTCTAGAAAAAGATTTTCCTACATTACCTTAATTATCTGTATCTGTTTCAAAAATTCTTTATAAAGATCTTAAGTACTTCACCCTCCATGTGCTCTGACAGAGCTTTAGCATTAGCACCTAGAAACTGTACCTTCCTTCCCACGTTTGTACCTAATAGCATCTCTTTCAAAAACTTAGTAAGGAAGACAGTGAGCTAAAATGTATTTTTCTCATGAAACCAGAGAAAACATAAATTGTTTTATGTTTAAATTTAAACATAAATGGAAAGATAATAAATTGTCTTAACTCTCTAAACAAAATGTGAACAGGTTCTACTACACAGTCTGTTCACAATGAGGGGGGGAAAAAGGAGAAAAGGTAAAAATGTTATCTCTAGGTTGAGGTAATCTTTGAATTCCTCAGTTCAAACATGGAAATGTAAAGTTTCCAGTACCAGGCTATTCATAAGGGCATTAGCCACATATCCACTTCTGTATCACCTACTTTAGGAGGCAGAATGTTGCTGTGGTTACAAACTGTGAGCTGAGAACACGTGGAGGGTTTAGGCCCCCACTTTTATCATATGGATAATAACAACCTGTCTCACAGAATTACTGAAAATTAAATGAGACAATGCCTATCAAATGCCTGACACAATAAATGTGAACTGTTAATAATACACAAAATAAACTTATTATATACAAATGAAATTTAATCAAAACCTTTTATGCAATTTCTTCCTGGTTTAACTGCTGAAACAAATATAAAAATAAAACACCTAGGTAACACTTTATATCATTAATAAATATTCCAGAATAAAGATAAAGCATCTTCAGTGAGTCTATAAGTTCAGAAGACCATAAACAAATAATAAATTTATCACAAAAAACTGATTTCATGATAAAAAGTCTTTTGCTAAATTTCCAAAAATATGTATTATTTAGGGAAAAGGCTAGCTGTTGGAGAATTCCAGGATAATCTGTGAAGTAATACTGAGACTCATGAATCAACTACATTGGTGAATTTTAGCATGAGCCTTATGATGTGGTATTGTTCTAAAGTTATGGGGTGAAGTCAGCTTCAAATTTGTTTTTTTAACAGCAGTATCACTACTCAATAACAAGAGAAATAGCAACAGCATTGGTATAGTTATGTGTTTTACTACTTCTGTTATTTATTTTAACGCAAATGGTAAAACACCAAATTTACAGCCTGTTCCCATCACACAAGACTGTATGTAGTTTGATTTTTTTCATACAATTGTCCACCAGAGGGAGCCAAACGATAGTCTATCATTTCACTGAGGCATTGAATGTTAAGTATAAGCATTTCTGAAAATTAGCAAGCTGAAACCAATTCCTGTTATTTACTTAGAAGGACTACTTATTGCTATTCAAGGATAGAAAAATAACAAATACATAATGTCAGTGGATGAGACAGAAGGATAATATGTATCATGTCTTAAAGAGACTCTCCAGGACTATCACCCAATTTTGTGTCTGTCCTTACACATCAGGTCAATCCACCAACTCTAAGTTCAGGCAAAGCAAATAATGACTGGTCAATGTAGTGTTTTTAGAACAGTGTGTATTCTATAAAGGTGGGGTGTATCTGGATTTGGAATAGACAAATACACAAATTAATGCCAGATCCTCAAGCCGTCCATGTGGAGAATGACCTGCTGTTAGAAAACATCCATTCAAGTATATTTACAAAAGAAAATATCTCCTAGGACAGTAAGAAGACTGCCCTTGAAATGTCTTAATTTCTAAACTGTTGCCTCAAATAGTGTGACATATGGACATTAATTCTCAGAAAGGAGGTGTAACAAGTTAGAATATTTGTAGGTTAATAGGCTGACAACCAACTATTAAATCCACATTATGGATTTTCTTTCCCTACCTAAATCCATCCTTTGTTTGATAAGAAGAAGAGCATTTATAAAGAAAAGAAAAAAATTTGAGATAATAGGAATAAGAGTGACATGTGAGGAAGGTGGGAGAGGTGGGCAGGGCTTCTGTGTGTATGCTTTAAAAGGGTGAGCTAGATTCCAAAATCCATGAAGGATCATTGGACAGGTTTAAGGAAGAGAGCAGGGTCCAAACTGCATTTTTGGAAGGTCACTCAGCAATGGGAAGGACAGACTGGAGTAGGAGGACACTGGATAGAGACAGGGGCCAGGAGATCCACCAAGGGGAGGGCTCTCAATCATCCAGGGAGAGATGAGAGGTCTCAGCTAAGACAGCAGTAGGGCAGCTAGAGAAGAGGTGGAAATGGTGACGTGTTTAGGAACAGAGGCTGATGCTCTGGGGCAGCTGAAGGAGGAGGAGTAAGCAGCCAGGACCATCTGGACTGGCTGCTACAGTGTGGAGGGGCCAGCTCCACCACTGCCCACCCGAAAGCTCCAGGATACTCCAGAGCAGGAAGTTTTTGCTCTCTGTTCCCTCCAAACACCTGACTATGTTCATCCTGAACTCGGCCTGGCTGATTCCCACCCAGAGCCTTCTCTGACCATCTCCCTGCTCCAGACTGGGTTCTTTGTGTCCACACAGGACCCTGGACATCACTCTGCCCTAGCACCTATCATTTTGTTTAAAAATTTATCTAGTATTTAAAATATTTCAGAAGGACTCATATTTATCTTATCAGATGAAATAATACAGAAATACATAAAAGTTGCACCCCCCACCCATACACACACACACACACACATACACACAGGTCTCTCATTTTCTGCCTAAAGGAAACCCGAGGTAAGAATCTGGTGTGACTCCTGAAGAATTTTTTTTATGATCATTATTTTAGCTAATGTGTTTCTATTATACAGATTTTTCTACAAACATGCTTTTGTCATTTAACAAAATATCACAGATAGTGGTGTCAACACATACAGATCTTCTTTATTCATTTTAATGCTGTACCACATTCCAATGTGATATAACATAATGACTTAACCATTCCCTTGCTGGTGAGTTTTTTCAGCATTTTGCTACATCAATGCTACAATTAGCATTCTTGCCAAATACCTTTTCAATTGTGTGCAGGTATTTCTAAAGGAAGGATTCCAAGATGGGACAGACTAAGGTATAACCATCACTCTTCAAAAAATTTGCACAAACTCACATCACACCTGAAGAGTGTGTAAGAATATAACAAGGTAGGGACTTCCCTGGTGATCCAGTGGTTAAGAACCTGCCTGCAATGCAGGGGATGCAGGTCAGATCCCTGTTTCAGGACATCCCACATGCTGTGGAGCAACTAAGCCTTAGCACCACAACTACTGAGCCTGAGTACCACAACTACTGACCCTGAGCACCACAACTACTGAGCCCACACACCATAACTAAGACCCAAATAAATATTTTTTAAAAAGAACATAACAAGGCATTCTAATGACCTGTTCATTTGTCGGTCTTTCCCATCCAACAATGGAGACTACCTTAAGGGCAAGGAAGTTGCTTCTTCACTGTTCTATTCCCATCACTGAGCTCACAGCCAGGTTCCTACAACCACTTAACACAAAAATATTTGTTGCTGAAACGAATGGCTAATACTTACCTTGCAAAACTGTTGTGAGGATTAGGGGTAATATGTGTAAAGATATGTAAAGAGATTAGCCTGCCACAAGTGAGGAATGAATGAATAATTGAAGAAGAGGTCCATTATGAAAATTAAATATTAAATATGAGAAAGAGTTGCTTATCTTCTCAAACCTAGAGACAACATATACAGTGGCACTCCCCCATCAAAATTTCCCCCTAATGATAATTTTTATCTAGCTTGAGCTCTTTATTTTTTCCATCCATCCCCATTAGTCAGTTTAAAAGCTGTGAAATAAAAAGTCTATAAAAACAGAATGGCAACACTGTACACTAATAAAGCTATACATTTCAACTCTTCTCTTCATGAGACCTTCCGGCTAATTCTCACCCTCTGCTAATCTAGCACATTTAGCACTGTTGATATTGTAATTTGTGAGGAAAACAAGTCAACGTGCAGAACCAGTTTGTCATAGCTCCTTTCAAAGTCCTTTCAAAGTCCTGAGTTAAGGAAGCCGTGGACATAGAGAAGAACAAGAGGAACCACGGGGACCAGCACACAGGTCCGCCAAGAAATGCAAATTAATTATGGATTTACCTCCTTCAGTTATCTACCCTGAACCTTGCTCTCTTAACTCTCTCCCAGAGCAATGAGAAGGCTCTGAAGATTCCTGAACAGGGAGCT